GGGGCCGCTCGTGGCCCATTCGTCTACTGCAAAGCTGCCCGGCTCTGCAGACTTAGCCAAAGATTCTCGCCAAGAACCTTCTGGACAGCTTGCTTCGTGTTCTGCAACGTCAAAGTAGAATCGATATCCAATCGAGTACTAAGGTTCGACAGTTGTTGCTGTGTGAGTTCTGCGTTAATAATGAGAATGAGAGCCTTCACAAACTCATCTAACTTTGCGAACTGGTCTTGTTCAAACTTCAAACTCGTTGATCAGCCTCATGGATTCGCCCACGTACTGTTCAATATTTAAGGTTCCTCTCCGGAACTGCAGCCAGCTAGAAAAACGGAGAAGTTTGGCTACGTCGTCTTTGGTGCGGTTCTCTTTTTGCATGAAGTCTAGAAGCTAGTTGTATCCGAGTTTATCTGTTGCTCCCGTCTCATCTTTCGGATTGGACGACAAGCGCGCCATGTCCAGCAACCGGGCCTGGTTGCGGAAAGTGGCGTTTGCGGAAAAAGCCACGTGACTTTATGTGAGGACCAAGCCGTTCTTGCTTTAGTTCACTACTGTGCTTCCAGTCGTCTAGGTCTTCCTCGTACGAGGTCCATGACTGCTGCGGTCCGGCGATGGGGCAGGCTTTCACCCCACTGCCATCGAAGGAGGCTGATGTCATCAGCTGTCGCGCGGTCCGTTGGATCAACCTGCTCCGCAACCAACTTGAGGATGAATCAGGCGAAACCCATCTGGCGGAAGTCGCCCAGCAGGGCTGGCGGGCGCGGCCTTTTCGGGGAACCGATCGGCGCGGCTCCAGGGCCCTAAATGGCGGCGGCTGGAGCAAGCAGTGAAAGGAAGCGAACTGGAAGAGACAGAAGAGACCAGGTGAGATAAGAACTAAGTTGGATGGGATCGGTTGTCAACCGGCGATGCGCCCCGATGTGGAGCCTGAGTTTCTCCACGCCGACGTCGCCAGTTCATGGCCGATGCATTGCCGATACATCGCCGATGCATCGGCGATGCGGCGCGATCTTCCGACACCATCCGCTCCGAACCCATCTAGGAGGCCTCTAAGGAGGGAGTGTGCGAGCTGGAGGAACGACTCGGGATTATCATCGGCACCTCATCGCGACCCGCAGGCAGCCTCTTGCTGTCGCAGCTGCAGTAAGCCAGCGTGCGCACCGGTCTCCTGTCGTACGGTATGCACGATCTCTCTCTGTCCTTCCCAGACCTCCAGGCGTCGCGGCAGGCATAACGGCATCTCTGGCTCCATGATCTCGGTCTCCGGGGGGGGCGCTCTTTCCGGGCCCAGGGGCCATGTCAAAAAGCGGCCTGTGACGACAAAAGCAGTCTCGGGGATAGGGTCGACGGTCGACCGGGCGGGGCCAGGACCGGGACAAATCGTTCCAGAGCGTTCCGCAACGCTCTCACAGCGTTCCGGAGCGCTCTGAGACGGCCGCAGCGCCCGATGCATCCACCAGAACTCCCAGATCTCAGAGATCCCCGATGTGTCCTAGTGCGGTGTTATCCCGATCGTGGCTGCGTCTTAGATTCGGGAGTTGCGAAGAGGGGGTGATGACTAGGTGTGTGTGTGTGTGGATACCATGGCTGGGGCCATGATATCTGCCTGGATCTCATGGCCCTCTCTGCTTCTCTCAGTGCTTTCCCTGGCCCCCCCTCGTCCGCACACATACCCGTGGCCATCAGTTGCGACCCTCTCCCTTGGACGCCTCCCTCTTGGACGCCCCGGGGCACAGTCAACCCACACAGCAAGGACGCGCAACTTTCCGAGGCGACCCTTGGCATCCTTCCCCTCCGGCCTAGCCTTGGCCGCTGTCGCTGTCCGCGCCCCGCGCGCCCAGTGTCGACGTGGCCTTCCACAGCTCGGGCGGCGGCGTCCCTCCTCCTCCTCCTCCTCCTCCTCCTCCTCCTCCTCCTGCTCCTGATCTTCCTCCTGATGCTGATCCTCCTCCTCCTCCTCCTCCTCCTCCTCCTCCTCCTCCTCCTCCTTGCACCCTTCTTGTCTTGGCATCGCTCGGACGTGTGCGCATTTTCTTCGGCGAGGACCGCCGAGGGGGGGCATCTGGGGCCCATTTTTTGGGGGGGGCCGCCAGGCGGGGATGGGCGCCTGGCTCTCCCCCCCGGGCTGCCGCGGCGGCCCCCCCCCCATTGTAGAGAGCGCGCGCGGCGCCTGCGCTCCGCTCTGGAACTTTTGGTGGAAGGGGTCGATCAAGGGGGGGGGGAGGGGGGAGGGAGAAGCGAGAGCGCGGGGAGGGAGAGGAGGGAGGGAGAGGGGCTGGGAGAGGAGGGGGGGGGAGAGGAGGGAGGGAGAGGGGGGAGGAAGAAGCGAGAGCGCGGGGAGGGAGAGGAGGGAGGGAGAGGGGCTGGGAGAGGAGGGGGGGGAGAGGAGGGAGGGAGAGGGGGAGGGAGAAGCGAGAGCGCGGGGAGGGCGTGGGAGGAGGCCGGAGAGGGGGAGGGGAGGGGCGTTGGCGATAGCGTCGGCGAGGGGGGAGGGGGAGCGGGAGAGGGCAGCGGGCATTGGAGGGGAGGGAGAGCCGAGTCGGGAGAAGAGGGAGGGGGGACGACAAGCCAGGTGTGCTTGCGTCATGTCTGACGTCCTACCCCTCCCTCCCAGCCCTTACCATGGCGTAGATCTCTTGTCTATTCGTACAAACGGATGTCGAGCAAGGCATCGCATTACGTGGCATAGCATGATGTTGAAGATCAACGCGTAGCATGATACAGCATGGCGTGGCGACGCCCCAAAGCGGGGGGGGGGCCTTCTGCGGCTCCAGAAATCCACGAATTGACACTGGATGTGTAATCACTTCCGATGGTTTTTTCGGGAGACCATTTTCGAGATTTTGGGGCCTTTTTGGAAGGACCGAAAACCACGCCCTGGCATGGCGCTGGAAATAATGACGCTCGCGCTTCAGCGGGAGCACAATTTGGGACGAGCGGACGCGGAAATGAGGCCAGCGCTGCAGCGGGAGCACGATTCGGAACGAGCGGAAGCCCGAAAACGAGGCCAGCGTTTCAGCGGGAGCAACATTTTGGAAACAAGCCCAAGCGAAAACCCATATCCCAGGAATCTTGCTGTGAAAAAACATCACGCGGAGGGGGGCAGGATATCTTCCAGATGTCATCAGGGGAAAGAGGAGAGTAGTGTTCATATTGTGTAATTGTGGAAGGCGAGGGAACAGAGGCGAGGTTGATGGCAAGGGGGAGGAAGAGGATGTGGGGGGGAGGGAAGCGGGGGGAGAGGGAGGGAGACGCGGGGGGAGGAAATGGGCAAGGTGAGAAGGAGGGGGGGAGGAAAGGTAAGGACGTGGGAAGGTGGATAACGCGAGAGGCAAGGAGGATCATTGTTTCTCACGCCGCCTTGAAGCCCCGTTTTCGACTGGGTAGCGAGATGATGACGGTGATGAAGACGATAACGATGACGATGATGGCGACGCTGACCAACATGATGATGATGCTGATGATGATGATGCTGCTGATGATGATGATAATGGTGATGATGATAATGATGATGATGCTGATGATGATGATAATGATGATGGTGGTGGTGATGACGATGATGACGATGTTGATGACGATGACGATGTTGATGATGATGCTGATGATGTTGATGATGATGCTGATGCTGGTGATGCTGATGATGGTGATGGTGATGGTGATGGTGATGGTGATGCTGGTGGTGGTGATAATGAGGATGATACTGATGCTGATGCTGATGACGATACGATGCTGCTGCTGATGGTGATGCTGATGCTGCTGCTGCTGGTGATGATGTTGCTGCTGTTGTCGCTGGTGATGCTGATGATGGAGATGATGCTGATGGTGAAGACGATGATGATGATGATGATGATGATGATGATGATGATGATGATGATGATGATGCTGATGATGCTGATGCTGATGCTGATGCTGATGCTGATGCTGATGCTGATGTTGATGCTGATGGTAATGATGATGACGCTGATGATGCTGCTAATGATGATGATGGTGATGATGATGGTGGTGCTGATGATGACGGTGATGATGATTCGGATGATTCGGATGAGTATGGCAGTGGGTACGATGGTGATGATGCTTGCGATACTGGTGCTGATGATGATGAGCATGAGCGGATGACTTGGAGGAGGTGGAGGAGGAGGAGGAAGAGGAGGAGGAGGAGGAGGAAGAGGACGAGGGGTGGGGGAAGGAGAAGGAGGGAAGAGAGAGGAGGAAGTAGGAGGAGGAAGGAGAGGAGGAGGAGGACGAGAGGAGGAGGAGGAGGAGTGAGGAGGAGGAGGGGAGGAAGGAGGAGGAGGAGGAGGAGAATCGGAGGAGGAGGAGGAGGAGGAGGCAGGAGGCCGTAGGAGGGGAGGAGGAGGAGGAGGAGGAGGAGGAGGAGGAGGAGGAGGAGGAGGGAGGAGGAGGGGGGAAGGAGGAGGAGGAGCCCGAGGAGGAGGATGGAGGAGGAGGAGGGAGGCAGGGGAGTGGGAGGAGGAGGAGGCGGAGGGGAGGAGGGGAGGAGATGGAGGAGGAGGAGGAGGAGGAGGAGGAGGTAGAGGTGGTGTGGGTGTAGGTGGAGGAGGCACATATTAAACCCATGAGGCATCAGCGATGCTGCAACACAGCAAGTCCTGGCAAGCATTCCGATTCATTGTGTCGTGCGACGCCTCACCTCCAATTGGGGGGTCTTTGGCCGTTGGTGTGAAGCACTAAATCCTCTTCACTGCGGGAAGCGCCCCTTTGAAAGACGAGCGCACCATGGTGCCCCGGTTCGGACAGGGCCCGCCATCCACCATGCCAGCCACAAGTGCCAAGAGGTATGATCATAAAGGCGAAGGGGCCCTGCAGCGAGAACACAATTTGAACAGGGGCGCCCTCCTGACGTGCAGCTTTTGCGTACTGCTAAACTTCTGGTCATCGATGTTGCAGGAAGTCTCAAGCGAGAGCCAAACTTTGAGCTTATCCGGAAATTAGTAGTGGCAACTTGAAAGACGAATGTGTGCGGCGCTGATGCGGGAGCCACGCTTCGAAAGCCTCCCGTCATCCATCCGCGGAGCTGCTTAGACATTTTGAGGCGACATGTGCCCACCGCACACATTTGTCTTTCAAGGGAAATTCAATCGTCAGGATCACAGGCGGTGCGGGAGTCTCAATCGAAACGCTGGGAAGCCTTACTGACACGCGTTGGCGGAGCGACGAGGAGGAGCTGTCTATGAGGGAGGAGGATCGTGGAGGAGTGGGCGGGGCGAGGAAGCAGGACGTGGCATTGGCCATGCTTCCCTCTCCCATCGGCCCTGGTTCTCCTGGCACGCACCTCTCCACCACGCAGGCATGCATTACTCTGCTGCGGCGGGCGGGCCCGCCTGTGTTTACAAGCGGTACACCCTCGCCGCACTGGGGGCCAGAGCGACACTGAAGGGCGCGATCCGATCCGGTGCCGGCCGATCTCGCTCCTGGGCCACTCGATGAAGTAGCTTGTGCACGAGAACCCGCGCACCGTATCGGCCGCTCAACGACTTGCCGTGGGAGAAAGGGGAGCTGGAGATGGGTGCGGAAGAACCCGAGCCCGAACCCGAGAACGAGCCCAGGTTGGAGCCCAAATCCGAGCCGAGCCAGAGCACGAGCCAAGGCCGGAGCTCGAGCCCGAGCCGAGGGGGGTGGGAGAGAGGAGGAGAAGAGAGGCAGAGGGAGAAGGGAGGCAGAGGCTGGAGGGAGGAGAGAAGAGGGATCAAGGTCGAGGGGTGAGGCAGGTGGTAGGAGGTATGACGACAAGGAAAAGGAGGAGGAGGAGGAGGAGGAGGAGGAGGAGGAGAAGGGGGGAGAAGGAGAAGGAGGAGGTGAGGTGGAGGACCAGGGGCCGCAGAGGATAAGGAGGAGGAGGAGGAGGAGGAGGAGGAGGAGAAGGAGGGAGGAGGAGAGGAGGAGGAGGGGGAGGAGGAGGAGGAGGAGGAGGAGGAGGCGGAGGAGGAGGGGAGGGATGAGGGAGGAGGAGGAGGAGCAGGAGGAGGAGGAAGAGGAGAAGGAGGAGCACAAATAGGAGTAGGAGGAGGAGGAGAAGGAGGAGGAGGAGGAGGCGGAGGAGGAGGAGGCGAGGAGGAGATGGAGGAGAAGGAGGAGAAGGATGACGAGGAGTGTGGCGGTGTGGTTGGTGGGGGTGGGGGGGGGGGGCAAAGAGGGAGGAGGATAATGACGAGCAGGGTGGAAAGGAGCAGGAGTTCTGATCCGCCAACGAGTCGCTGACAACGCCCCCATCCCTGCATCCTCTCTCATCCGTCCTTTTCCATTATAACTCCGCCCTGTCGCACCCCGAGTCATGTCGGTAGGGCGGGCGTTTCGCTTGAGACTTCCCCACCATGTATGATCATTCAGCTTAGAATTCGTAGCAGTTTCACGGATGGTGGGAGCGAGTGGTTTTGAGCATGTGGTTCGCGCTTTAGCGCCGCGCGCATTCGTTTTGAAAGTTTGCAACGGCCTCACGGATGGAGAGCGTGTTTTTTTCAAATTGCGTTTATCGCTTAAGCGCCGCACGCACTCGTTTTGACAGCTGGAAGCAGCTTCACGGATGGAGGGCGGGCCGTTTTCAAAATGTGGCTCTCGCCGTAGCACCGCGTAAGTTGCAAGAGTTTCACGGGTGGAGGGCGGGCCGCTTACAAAATGCGGTTTTCGCTTAAGCGCCGCGCGCATTCGTTTTACAAGTCTGCAAGAGTTTCACGGATTGACGGCGGTTCGTTTTCAAAGTGTAGTTCTCGCCGTAGCGCCGCGCACATTCGTGTGAAAAACTACAAGCGCTTCGTGGATGGAGGGCGATTCGTTTTCAACATGTGGTTCTCGCTTTAGCGCTGTGCACATTCGTCTTAAGAGTTTACATCAGCTTAAGCATTCTTACGGCTGTCGTCCCAGAAAGTGTGTTTTGGCACGATGTAGGAGTGCCAGAGCGCAACGGTCTCGTTGATTCGCGGTGCTGAAGTTTCAGGTAGGTGTTCTGACACGGTCCAAGAATTTCAGGTCGTTGTCTTCCAACGGGGCATTCCCCACAGTGAAAAACACAACCTTGTAGGGACCGATGGAGAGGAATTTAGAAGGAAGGTGTATTGCAACGTCGTTGATGAGTCTTGGATTGCACTGGCCCTCCTCCTCCTCCTCCTCCTCTTAATCCCTTCCTCCTTTATGTATCCTCCTCAATACTAATACTACGACTACTACTTCTTCACTACTACTACTACTACTACTACTTACTACTATACTACTACTTAGTCTTATCTAAACTACTACTACCTATGTACTAAATACGAATACTCATTAGTCCGACTCTACTCCTACTCTGCTCCTGATACCTGCTACTGCTCCTGTGTGTTTTGACTCATTATTATTTTTTTTTTTTGACTTTTTTTTGTTGTTTTGTTTTTTGTTTGTTTTGTGCGTGGCGGTGTTTGTGGATGCGCTCTACTTGCCACATCCTATCCTACTCCCCCGACTCGACTCCTACTCCTACTCCTAACTCATAACTCTATTCCTACTCTTATTCCTACTCCTATCCTTATACCTTATTAGAATATACTCCTACTCCCCCCTCAGGCCGGCAGATAGGGGCCCCATCCGGGTGGTCCCATCCTAACCTGTAAAAAACAATACAAAATCAACATTTTTCTTATTGTTTCCTCTCGACATGGACGTCCTGTCGTCCACGGCGATAATCCATTGCAAAAAATATCACAAAGAGCACACGCGCGCGTTCATGTCAGAATCCTACCGAACACCGTGTGTTTGCAAGCATTTCAACATAAAAACATCAAAAGCCCAATGCTTTTTCACAAAAATTGTGCAATTTGTTGTCGCTTCGCGAATCCGCACCAGCCCATCCAGAAACGATGCCCAGAGGAATTGCCTCGATCAGAGAAGTGGGCAGCACACAGAGGAAGCCATTATGAGACATCTTGGGATATCTTGAGCCATCTTGGAGGTCATTTTGGGCTCTCCCAGACGCTCTTGGAGTCATCTTAATCCGTGCCCCCCCCCAAGAAGCCTCCATGTGGCTAAAACCTGTGTAGAATCAATGATTAGGCATTCTCGCCGAGGCCTCTTGGAGCATCTTGGGTGCATCTGGGGGGGCTCTTGGGGCCTCTTGGGGGTCTCTTGGGGGCCTCCGGGGGGGCCTCTTGGGGGCCTCTTGGGGCCATTTTGGGGCCATCTTGGGACCTCTTGGGGCTTCCTGGGCGCTTCTTGGGGCCATCTTGGAGGAGATCGATCAAAAAAGAGGGGGGGTTTAATTAGCGTCCCCCCTCGGAAGCCCCTAAAATCGCCTCTTGGACCCCTCTTGGAACGCTCTTGGAGTGCTCTTGGGCGCTCTTGGGGCCGTCTTGGGGCTCTTTTGGGGCTCTCTGGGGGCCCTCTTGGGCCATCTTGGAGCCATCTCCAGGCCTCGGATAGCCATCGGAAGCGAAAAGGCGAGAAAGCAAAAATCATTGATTTTCCTTAGGTTTTGGGACGATTTTGGCCTCTTCGGGGCCTCCTTGGGGAGCTGTTTGGCCACTTGGAGTTATCGTGGGGCCGTCTTTGGGCTTCTTGGAACCATCTTAGGAGCCATCTCGAGCGATCTTGCGCTATCTTGAGCCATCTTGGAGCTCATCTTGGGTTCTCTGAGGCGCTCTTGGAGCCGTCTTGGGCCATCTGGGACGCTCTAACTACCCGCGGCCCCCCCCGTCCAGGTCCAGGGGAGGGGGTAGGGGGAGGGGTAAACCCCTCCCCAAGGGGGAAGAGGGAGGGGTGGAAGAGGATCTGCTCTAGAACACCTACGCCCAGAGGGCTGGTGGGATTTCCCGCCCGGGCTCTCTTGCTGAAATCATAAGAAAACCATAGGAATCTTAAGAGTTCTGTCAAATCCAGCGATTTCACGTCATCGCGCGGTGCACTCGCGATGCTCTGTCATGCACCCAGGCCGCGAATCCTGTGCAAAAAAAACTACAAAGAGCACACTCGCGCGTTCATGTCAGAATCCTACCGAATACCGTGTTTTTGCAAGCATTTCAACATAAAAACATCAAAAACACAATGCTTTTTCACAAAAATGCTTTGGGGTGTCCTGTCAGACCGTCGGGCTTCCTCCGGCCACCTCTGGCTTCCTGCGGTGTACCAGGCAATTCTCGACTCGTCTGGCAATGCGTGCGCGGCATTCAACACGCGCTCGCCAGTTCCGTCGGCAACCGCCATCGCGGCCGCATCAGCTGTACCAAACCGGCTGGCCGGTGTGACTTCGGCCCCCAGTTGTGAAAGCTCGAAAGCGGTTGGTTTTTGTTTTTTTCCTTTTTTTTTTTGTTTTTTTTGTGTTTTTTTTTTTGTTTTTTGCTTCTTATGTTGTGGGAGGGCGGGTGGACTGGGCATGCCATGCTTGACTCGCTCGAGCTGGCTAGCTTGACTCCTACTCCTACTCCTACTCCTTCTCCTATCCTTATTCCTTATTAGAATATACTCCTACTCCCCCTCTCAGGCCGGCAGATAGGGGCCGCATCCGGGTGGTCCCATCCTAACCTGTAAAAAACAATACAAAAACAACATTTTTCTTATTTTTTCCTCTCGACATGGACGTCCTGTCGTCCACGGCGATAATCCATTGCAAAAAATACCACAAAGAGCACACGCGCGCGTTCATGTCAGAATCCTACCGAACACGTGTGTTTGCAAGCATTTCAACATAAAAACATCAAAAACCCAATGCTTTTTCACAAAAGTTGTACAAATTTCCCGCCCGGGCTCTCTTGCTGAAATCATAGGAAAACCATAGGAATCTTAAGAATTCTGTCAAATCCAGCGATTTCACGTCATCGCGCGGTGCACTCGCGATGCTCTGTCATGCACCCAGGCCGCGAATCCTGTGCAACAAATACCACAAAGAGCACACTCGCGCGTTCTTGTCAGAATCCTACCGAACACCGTGTGTTTGCAAACATTTCAACATAAAAACATCAAAAACCCAATGCTTTTTCACAAAAATGCTTTGGGGTGTCCTGTTAGACCGTCGGGCTTCCTCCGGCCACCTCTGGCTTCCTGCGGTGTACCGGGCCATTCTCGACTCGTCTGGCAATGCGTGCGCGGCATTCAACACGCGCTCGCCAGTTCCGGTCGGCAACCGCCATCGCGGCCGCATCAGCTGTACCAAACCGGCTGGCCGGGATGGGAACGTGCGGCCCACAGAAACACAAGCTTGTTATTTTTTTTTTTTTTGTTGCTTCTTATGTTGTGGGAGGGGGGTTGGGATGGCATGGCATGTTGACCCCTGTTTCGAGATGGATAGTGACTCCTACTCCTACTCCTACTCCCACTCCCACTCCTACTCCTACTCCTACTCCTACTCCTACTCCTACTCCTCCTCCTCCTCCTCCTCCTTCTCCTCCTCCCCGTGTCTTTTTATAATATTCTAGACGCGTCAGCCCATCCAGAAACGATGCCCAGGAGAGTTGCCCTGATCAGGGATGCGGAGGAGCACGCCTTGGATTAAGGGATTGGGGAAGCCGTCATACACCAAGCATGGTGGAGAAGGAATCGGAGGAGGATAACTAGGAGGAGGAGGAGGAGGAGGAGGAGGAGGAGGAGGAGGAGGAGGAGGAGGAGGAGGAGGAGGAGGAGGAGGAGGAGGGCGGAGGGGGAGGGGGGAGGAGGAAGGGAGGAGGAGGAGGAGGAGGAGGAGGAGGAGGAGGAGGAATCGGAGGAGGAAAATAGGAGGAGGAGGAGGAGGAGGATGAGGAGGAGGAGGAGGAGGAGGCGGCAGGAAGAGGAAGAGCAGGAGGAGAGGAGAGGAGGAGGAAGAAGAGGCGGAAGGGGGAGGGGGGGGGGGTCGAAGAGGCAAGGAGGGACGACGAGGAATAGGCGGCATGAGGGACGCGGAGGAGGAGGAGGAGGAGGAGGAGGAGGAGGAGGAGGAGGAGGAGGAGGAGGAGGAGGAGGAGGAGGAGGAGGCCGCGCAGAAAGGCCAGAGGCCTCTTGGATGCCTCTCGGGGTCCCCTTCGGATGTCTCGTGAGAGCTTCTTGGAGTCCTCTTGCAGCGTCTTGGGGGCCTCTTGGAGCGTCTTGGGTGCCTTGGGGGAGCCTCTTGGAGCTTCTAGGGGGCTTCTTCGGGGCCTCTTGGGGCCGCCTGAGCGCCTGTTGGTTCCTCTTGGGGCACTCTTGGGAGCGTTTGGGGCCATCTCGGGCCATCTTGGGGAAGTTGGATCAAATAATGGGGGGGTAACATATTAGGGCCCCCCTCCAAGAGGTCAAAATGGGCCCAAAGCCGCGGTAACATCAATGATTTGTGCCTTCTTGCCAAGGCCATCTTGGACACTCCAACGCCTCGCGGAACCTCCCGTCCAGGTCAAGCGGGAGGGGGAATGATGGAGGGGTACTCTTCCCCGAAGGGGAAGAAGGGGCTTTGGAAGATGAAACGCCCTATACCACACGCCCTAAAAGGCTGGTGGCATTTCCGTATCTTCCCTTTCCATTACATTATTTTCTTTTGCCCTCCTCCTCCCCCTCCTCCTCTTCCTCCTCCTCCTCCTCCTCCTCCAGATCCTCCTCTTCCCTCCTGTTTCCTCCTCTCCCCCCCCTCCTCCCCAGACGTCCGGCCGCTCCAATGTATTCGATGCGTGGTCCCCAGAGGTTTGGACCACTTCCCCAGGGCCGGTTTCTCGTCCTGGGTTGTGCTTCGACGGTCCCGAGGCCCAGCGAGGGCCCCCGGGGAGGCCGCACGCGGCCCGTTAACCCGCCGCTGCAGTTTTTGGGGGGCGCTGGATCTTTGGGTCCCTCCCTCTCCCCCTCTCCCCTCCCTCCTGACCCTCCCCCCCGCCCCTCCTCCTCCCTCCCTCTCCACCTCCCCCCTCTCCCTCTCCCCTCTCCCCTCCCCTCTCCCCTCCCTCCTCCGCCCTCCTCCCCGCTCCCCGCCCCCCCTCCCCCCCCCTGCCGCAGAGACCCCCCCGCGGGGCGCCGGAGGCCCGCGGAGGCGCTCGTCGCGGAGGCCTCGCCGGAGGCGCTGGCGGCGCGCCTGCGCGCCTGCGCGGCGGCGCTGGCCTCCGGCAAGGCGGGGCGCTGCCGCCGTCTGCGGGGCGGGGCCTCCTCTCAAGTCGGGCACGTCCCCCTACAAGAGGGAAATTTGAAAAATAATCCACAAAAGTTGTCTGGGGACAATGTTTCGATGATGTTGTGACTATATTGTTGCGTATGTTTGGGCTCTTTTTCGCTTTTCTTCCAACATTCGCTTGTAGGAGGACATGCCCGACCTAAGAACATCTCCCCAAAGATCCGATGCTTCAAAAAAGAATTGGAGCGGCGGGTTTCGGATTGTTTTCGGCCCCCATGGGCCCTCGCAGGGCCTCGGGACCGTCAAGAAGGCAGGACGAACAAAAGCCGGCCACTAGGAACGCGGTCCAGACCTCAGGGGCCCAGGCATCGAAGAAAGTGGAGCGGCCGGATGTATGGGACTTCTCCATGCTTCGTGGCCCGGCCCCGAGATCGGGGCGGTGCAGATTTTTTGCGCTGGGCGATGTTTTATGCTGGGCGTGGTCGCCGAGCTTCGGGCCCCGGGTCGAAGGCTGCCGCGGAGAGTCGGGGTCCAGGGCTTTGGTCGCGATGTTGTCCGACGTTGCAAGTGCTTCGCAGCGTCGGATCTCTGGGGAGTCGGTCCTGGAAGAATCCCCGCCTCCCACCCTCGTCGTCGCCCTCGTCGTGGTGGTGGTCGTGCTCCTCTCAAGGGAGAAACGGACCGGACAATCGGCGTTACGGCCCCGGGCGTTTACTGAACAGCCTTGCCCTGTTCGATTTTTTCTGTGGGCGCGTTTACTAGACGACTTCGCGTATGGGGCCAGTTACAGTCGACCCGCACAGTAAGGATGGGCAACCTTCTCAAGGGTACCCTTGCATGCTTGCCTCCTCGGTCTATCCTTGGCCACTTTCGTTGGCCGCGTCCTGCTCGAAAAGCTTCACAATGGGCGTCCAAGGCCCTTGCATCCTTATCGCGCATCCTTACTATATACTAGTTGACTGTACTATGGGGGCGGATTTCTTGACCTCGCGCCTGTTGTCGTCCCTCGCGCTGGCCTGGCAGCTGCTTCCCTTCCCGGTCCTCCAGGGGTGAAGCCGGGCCGCGGGCACCCAGCGGCTCGGAGCGGCGGCGGTGAGGACGGCGGCTGGGCGCGCGGTCGGACCAGGAGGAGGAGGAGGAGGAGGAGGAGGAGGAGGAGGAGGAGCGAGGAGGAGGAGGAGGAGAGAGGAGGAGGCAGGAGGAGGAGGACGAGGAGGAGGAGGAGGAGGAGGAGGAGGAGGAGGAGGAGGATAGGAGGAGGAGGGGAGGAGGAGGAAGGAGGAGGAGGAGGAGGAGGAGGAGGAGGAGGAGGACGACGACGACGAGAGAGGAGGAGGAGGAGAAGGAGGGAGGAGGAGGAGGAGGAGGAGGAGAGGAGGAGGAGGAGGAGGAGGAGGAGGAGGAGGAGGAGGAGGAGGAGGAGGAGCGAGGAGGAGGAGCGAGGAGCGAGGAGGAGGAGAAGAAGAAGGAGAGGGCATGGAGGAGGAAGGAGGGAGGAGGAGGAGGGAGGACGGAGGACGAGGAGGAGGAGGAGGAGGAGGAGGAGGAGGAGGAGGAGGAGGAGGAGGAGGAGGAAGAGGGGGAGGAGGAGGAGGAGGAGGAGGAGGAGGAGGAGGAGGAGGAGGAGGAGGAGCCCAAATCGCGACACCGAGCCGTCCCCCGAAGGCTCAGGGCGGGCCACGCTCGCCAGGAGAGTCGGCGCCTCGAGCGGCCACCCCCCGCGGCGGCGCGCGCCTGTGCGCCTGCCGGGAGGGGGGGGGCCCAGCGCGGCCAGTGGGCCCTGGACTTAAGTAGGGCGTGTCCCTCTACAGGAGGAACATTCAGAAATAATCAAAAAGTAGGGAGATGTTGTAGCATGTTTTAAATATTTGTTGAACATTTTTCGTTTTTCCTCCAAATTCCGCCTGTAGGGGGACATGCCCGACCTAACCCTGCACAAAGGCAGAGCCAGTGTCGTGTGCACCGTTTCCGATAAGCTTTCGGCACGGGGGGAAGCTTCTGGAAGGAGCCTCGGCCCGGTTCAAGATCAGATTCGAAGCCGGTTCGGCTCGGTTCGAGTGTCGACCACGACCAGTTCGGTTCGGTTCGCGTTGAGTGAAGGACCGGTTCGCACCGGTTCGGTTCGGCCGGTTCGGTTCCGGAATTATCCTGGAGAATTTGGTTCTCGAGTATGAGAAGGTTACATGAAGTGTTCACCGGAACGGGCAAAAAGCGGCGCCAGAACCGGATCTTGAACCGGAGCCGGAGAATGAACGGCGACGGACCTGGAAGCAAAGTTGAAAAACGGAGCCGAAACCAGAGTTGCCTTGCCGCTGAAGGCCGAGCGAGCCCGAGCTAGCCACCCCTCAGGCTCTTGCCGGACGCCTGTGGTTCTGCTACCACTCTTGCGCTTGCCGGGCCGCCTTGCCGACGCGCCCGAGCCGCCGGGCAGGCGCGGGCTGCCGAGGCGGAGAACTACAAGGCCTCCCGTCCGAGGCGGGGATTTGTACATAACCGCCGCCTGGAGGGTCGACTTCGGAGATCTCGACGGGCGGTGGAGGTGGACATAATTTGGGCCCCCAGGGGCCAAAAATGTGTCCATGTCCACCGCCCGCTGGGGCACCGGGGCGTCGGTTCCCAGGCGGTGGTATATGCATAGATCCCCACCTCGCATCCCGGCTGTCTGCCGGGCGCCGTCCCCTCCTGCGGGTGCTGCCCGGCCGCTGTCGAAGCTCGGCCCGATGCGGATCCGAGTCGACGTCGACTCGGGCCGAGCCGATCTGCGTCGATTCCGATGCGCTGGCGATCCGATGCGGCCCGTTGCGTGCAGGGCGCTGTTGTGCATCCTGGCGCGGCCGGCACGATTCGATGTCGACATCGCACCGATGCTGCCCGGTCCGACGCACGTTCCGATCCGATCCGATGTATCGGCTCGATGCTGGCCGATCCTGCCAGTGCAGCCGCCGACGCCCTTTCTGCTTCTGCTCTCGCCGCGTGCGTCCCTGGGGCACGGCCGCTGCGTCGCCCCCCGCAGGGAGGACCAGGGGAAGGCACCCAAGCGAGGAGAATGGGAGCGTTTTCGGAGGAGGGGGAGGAGGCAGAGGAGGAGGAGAAGGGGCAGAGGAGGAGGAGGAGGAGGAGGAGGAGGAAGAGGAGGAGGAGGAGGAGAGGGAGGAGGAGGAGGATGCAGATGATGAGGATGAGCATGAAGATGAGGATGAGGAGGAGGAGTAGGAGGAGGAGGAGGTGGAGGATGAGGATGAGGATGAGGATGCCAAGGAGCAGGAGAAGAAGGATAATGAGGAATAGGAGGAGGAGGAGGAGGAGGAGGAGGAGGAGGAGGAGGAATAGAGGTGGGTGAGAAGGGAGGAGGGAGGGTTTCGTGCCTACGAAGAGCGGTGCATAAGGGGTCCCATCGATCTCCACGGGCCAGAGGAGGGAGGAGCGGGAAGAAGGGGGGAAAGAAGTGCACAGTACTGCAGGGTGCGCATTACACAGAGTGCGCATTACTGCAGCAGGAGAAGAAGAGCCGATACATGCAGTAAGAACCAATGCCGATGGCCCTTCCCAGCTGGAGCCATTGCCGAGGCCAGTGCCGCTGCTTTGCGTCGACGGGAAGAGGGAGGAAGCGGAGGAGGCGGACATGGAGGGGGAGGGGGAAGAGCGGGCAAACGAGGAGGAGGAGGAGGAGGAGGAAGAGGAGGAGGCAGAGGAGGAGGAGGCAGAGGAGGAGGAGGAGGAGGAGGAGGAGGAGCAGGAGGAGGAGGAAGAGGAGTATTTGGCAAGGGGATCCGCGGCCCCACCTGCTCCACACCTCGAGACTGTATTGAGGTTTTATCCCTCACGGCCTTTGCGCACCTACGGCGTGTGTCGCACCCTCCGCTGGTGCGAGATGGCTTTTTGGCAGCAGTCTTGTTGGTGTTGTCCCAATAAACATTGTAAGTTCAAGTACAACTACGAGTGGCGTGATCGCTGCCTCCGCTGTGGCACGGAGAAAGGCGGCCCCAGCCAGCGCGTGGTCCAGCCCCGCGGTGTCTGGGCTGGTGGCGTCCCCCCTCCGTACGTGCGCCCAAGCCGAAAGGACCTCCGCCCCTCACCGATGCGCAGGTCCGAGCCTACGCCGCCATGGACCCCGCCTCGTATGAGGCCGTGGCGGACACGCTCAGCCAGTCGGCGCGGGATCGCATCCAGCACCAGCGGGGCCTCCTCTCAGGCGATCCGCAGCTGGTGTCGCGGGCAGCGGAGAAGGAAAGTGACGTGCTCACGGATCGGCTTGGCAAGGTGCAGAAGAAATACGATAAGGCGCAGGAGAACCTGCACCGTGCCGTCCGCTGCGCAGCAGAGGTTGGCGCTGAGCTCGAGGAGCTCCAGCAGCAGCAGAAGGAGGCTGCCGCGCGCGGGGCAGCGGCCCTTGCGCAAGTGGGCGGCACGGCCGCCGCCGCGCCTGGCACGCCGCCTGGCCAGTGCGACGGGCTGCTCCAGCAGGCGCGGCTGCTTGGCGACGCCGAGCTCGAGACCAAGCTCACGGCGGTGGCGGCGCAGCTGGCAACCGCCCAGCAGGAGCTGCAGGCGAAGGCCGCGCAAGCCCAGCACCCCCCCCCTGTTGCGCCTGCTGGCACCGCCCCGTCAGGCGGTGCCCAGCCTGGCGCCGCCAGCGCGGGCCTCCCCTCGGGATGCGGCCTCGCGGCGGCAGGGGCAGCGGGTGCAGGGCAGGCTGCGCCGCCTCCTGCAGCTCCTGTGGGTGGCGCTGACCCTGATGAGCGCGCCCGTGCATGGGCAGCCCGAAACGAGCAGAAGCTGCTCGAGGCCTGTGCCAGCGCAGTCGGCGACGAAGATGACATGGATCTCGACGAGGGCGCCAAGCGGGCCATCAAGCAGCGAGCCATCGAGCTGTTCGGCCAGGCGCTCAAGAAGCTGCGCACCACTCACTACGTCCCACCGCAGTTGGGGTAGCCCGCAGTGCCGCCCGTTGACAGTTCTCACGGCAAATGTTACGAGCACGCCTGGGCTTGAGCTGCTCAGGCAATCTGGTGACTGGTATGATTGTGACTTGGCGCTTGTGCAGGAGCACAAGGTGCCGCAGCGTCAGCGTGACGCGCAGGAGCAGGCGCTGCGCAAGACAGGCTGGAAGGCAGCCATCAACCCCGCCGTCCGCGCTGGTGCCGCTGATGGCGCCTCTGACAGCCTGGCGGGCTTGTCTGGCACTTTGATTGCCACGCCTGTTCGTTATGGGTTCAGCCAGCTGGAGGGCCTCCCGCACTGCGCGTGCCCAGCCAGGGCTTCACTGCTGCATCTAAGCCACGGTCCGAAAGGTGGCTTGCTTGTTGGCACCATGTACCTGCACGACTCTGAAGACCTCAGTGAGAGGAATTGGCACATCCTCTGCGCCATGGGCCAGGCCGTCAAGAGTGCAGGGCTTCCTTTCATCCTCAGTGCGGACTGGCAAGTCACGCCCGAGGAGAGTGGCTGGGTGGCAGGCATTGGTGGCGTCGTGGTAGCCCCCAAGGTGGGCACGGTCAGGCCGTCGGAGCGCGTCATCGACTACTTCGTGATGTCGCCCTTCCTAGCGGCAGGAGCGCAGCTGACCGTTCTGGAGCACATCGCGGTCAGTCCGCATCGTGCAGTTCAGGTTCGGCTTCAGGTTCCCCGTCGGCCCCCAGAAGTTCGCGCCGTTCAGCAGCCGCGCAAGTTTCCAGCTCACGCCCCCATTGGCTGCTGCAGGGAGTTCGATGAGCCTAACTGGGAGCAGCTTGGCGACGACATGCGACGGCCCGACGTAACTGTTGACGCAGCCTGGGCTGCTTTTATCGAGGCTGCGGAAGCTAAATGGTTGAATGTGTTTGATGTGGAGCCTCGGCAGGCCGGGTACTATCGAGGCCGTGGAGAGGCACCTCGTCTAAAGACTCTTCGACCTCCGCGGCCATGTTCGGTGCCCTTTCCGCAGATGAATGCTGAAGCTACCTGGTGGCGAGGTTTGGCACATGCGCTGCTGGACTACGGCAACCTGCAGGGCGGCTGGGATGCTGTGACTCGGAGGCGCCGTCTCACTCGCCATTGCCGAGCTATCTCGTTGCCGCGCCAGTGCCAGCTAGCGATCAATGTTGCTAAACTCGCCCTCCATAGCCTCCCTCTCTCCACACCCCACCTGCAAGTTTAAAAAAACGCTTGCGCAGCAGCAAGCTGAGGTCGCTGTTCGAGCCAGCCAGCGAGCCAAGCAGCGGGGGTGGGAGGACTGGGTTCACAAGCACAGCACTGAGCAGGGCGCATCTGCTCTGTTCAGTTTCTCCAAGGTGCCTACAGGATGGACGCCCGACGACACGACGGTCGATCACGTCCCCTTAGGCTCAGCCGAACAAATTGAGCAGCTCAGGGTTGAATGGGAGTCATGGTGGTGCGTCTCAGAGCCTCACCCTGAGCTTTCCTGGCCAGATCTCTCCCTCCTTGAACCTCCTCCTCGCCCTACTGTCCCTGAGCTGCCAGCAGTCCTCAAAAGCTACAAGCCCACCACGGGCCAAGGTTATGATTGTGTGAACCCGCGGCACTTTTTGCACCTGGGCCTCGAGGGCCTGGACGCGCTTTGTGAGCTTTTGCAGTTGATTGAGCTGAGGCTCGACTGGCCCACCGCGTGGGTCAAGGTTTTCTTCTTGGCCAAACGTCTGGGAGGTTTTCGGCCGAATGCTCTCTTGCCTGTGCTCGCGAGGGTCTTGTGTCGCTTACGGAAGTCCGAGATCCAGGATTGGCAGAGAAGAAACTTTAGAAGCTTTTCTTGGGGGACCCGCGGCAAGGCCGCAGATGAGTGCGTCTGGGTGCAGGCCGCGTGGGCCGAGTGGGCTCATGGCCAAGGGATGGCGTCTGGGACGGTGTTGGTGGACCTCAAAAAGGCCTTTGAGCTCATTCGGCACCACCACCTTGTGGCCGCCGCAGAGCGCACAGGGTTCCCGATGAGACTGATGTACCTCCTTATCAAGCTGTATCGTCAGCCGCGGATTTTAGACATGGGCATTTTTGTGTCGGAGCCCATACATTCAGAACAGAGTGTCCAGCCAGGTTGCGTTTTCGCAACGATGATGTTGCAGCTCGTCTTGCTACAGCCCCTAGATGAGGTGCGCAAAGTTGCTCGTGCAGTTTCGCCCTCTACAGTTGTGGATGATATAGGTCTGCAGCGCTTCGGCGAAGAGGAGCGCGTCCGTGCAGATCTCACTGCAGCAGGCTGCGAGTTAGCTCGTCAGTTGGAAAAAGTTGACTTGTTGGTGGCGAAAGAAAAGACGCGCTTCATGAGTAGTGTAGCCCCTCTCAGGACGTCTTTAGAGGCCAGCCTTAAATGCCTGGGAGGGCAGCGCTCTCGCTCTGAGAGGAACTTGGGGGTTGATGTTGGGTCTGGGCGGAGGTTGGATCGCACCACTAAGCGAGAGCGCTTGGCTGCTGCCGCCGTCCGTTCGAGGCGCTTAAAGATTTTGCAAAAAGCTAAACGTCGCCGACTCGTCGCTCGCATGGTCAAAGCCACCGTGGAAACCAGCGTCTCTTATGGCACTAGTATCACTGGGACCAATGGGCAAGAGCTCCAGAGGCTTAGGCAGTTGGTAGGCAGTCAGGGTCCCACCAGCTCCGCTTCCCTCACGCTCCGTCTCCCGCTCACCCCTGGCAGTCGGGTGGACCCTATATTTAAGGCTTCCGCCGACCCGCTTTGCGCCATGTTGGCCGCGTGGAAGCAGCAGTGGGTCCCCCAGCACATAATAACTCAAGGGATTCGGCAGGCCCAGCAGCGAGTCCGATCCAGCAAAGGCAGTCCGTGGCAATCTGTTGCTGGGCCCTTCACGGCCTACCTGGCCACGCTCGATCGTTTGGGAATTCAGCCAAACGGTTTTAGTTCTTGGATTTTCCCCTGGGGCCTCACTATACAGCCGGCCACGTTTTGTGTCCATGAGCTAAGGAAGCTCATCGACTTGGCCTGTGAGGCCTGGCAGTGGAAGCAGATCAGCACTACGCTTGACTGCCCCGAGCTCAAGTCAGGCATCTTGCTCGAGCCAGTCCTCGGTCTGCTGGGTCGCTCTTCGCCGCTGCCGCCTGATGAAAAGGCTTATCTTCGTGCTGTCGTCATCGGTGCCCAGTGGACGCAGCAGCGCATGTTCGAGGCTAAATATGTGCAGTCCCCGCTCTGCCGTATCTGTCAAAGTTTTCCTGGCACTTTGTATCACCGTCATCTGTTGTGTGACGGGTTGGTCTCTGCCAGTTTGCAGCCCGCAGGCCCTCTCCGTCGAGTCCTGCCGCAGGAACCCACAGAGCTCGTGCAGTTGCTTGGCAGCCGTGTGCTTCTTCCTTTCGACAGGTTCCCGCAGCGGCCAGAGCCCGCGCCAGAGCAGTTCTACCTTGGTGAGCGCAGCTCGCTCACTGGGGACTTGTTCGTTGACGGCTCGAGGTATGATCACGATGTGCCCAATGCTGTTGTCACTGGTTGGGCTGTCATTGCCATGCATCCTGATCCTCCTCCTCCGAGGGCGCTCGACGATTTTCGAGTTTCGGTTGTCTTCGGAGGCGGAGTCGAGGGCCCGATTCAGTGCATTGATCGTGCTGAGCTGGTGGCGGTTTTGAACACTCTCAGAGTTGCCGTGCCACCCGTCACCATCCACGCGGACAGCGAATTTGTTTTCTCAGGCATTGTTAAGCGTGGACGGGAGGCATGATGTGCCTTGCTCTCTGCCCATGCTGACATCTGGGAGCTTCCATCGACCCACGCCTTCTCGCGGGCAATCGTTTTGCCGACGACTGGGCGAAGAAGATAACGGGTCAGGGGCGCGTGGATTTCGTGCTTCGCGATCGGTGTCGGAAGTTCTCGAGGCTCGTGCGCGCGGTGGGCGAGCACGTAGGCAGGGTCGCCCCCCTCGCGGCCGCCGACGCCGAGCGCCTCACGGCGTCCCAGATGAAGGCGGCTCGCGCCGCGCGGCGCCAGGCCAGCGAGCTGGCCGCCACCGCCGCCCTCGCCCCACCACCGATTGCTCCCCACCGTCGTGTCGTCCTCGCTGGGGGGCACGCTCTGAGAAGGTGGGTTAGTGAGGAGCGCGGCGATAATTCGTGCGGCTCCATTTGTGTGAAGTGTGGGGCTATGAGCACCCAGCGCGTTTTGAAGCTGGGCCAGGTCTGTGGGCACCCCTCGGCTTGGGGCAAGCGGGTTCTCAAAGGCCTTGACCAGAGGAGACTGTTTTTTCGAGGCCGCTGGATTTCGGTTCAGCTCAATCCTTATGTTCCTGAGAGCTCGGACGTGATTTGATCCCGAGCTGTGTGCAGCGGTAGGGGGCAGGCTCACTGACCCCCCGTTGTTGTCAATCTGTGTCGCAGGAGGCAGAAGAGGGGGCGAAGGAGCGCAGGAGGAGGAGAAGGAGGAGGATGAGTAGGAGCTGGAGGAGGAGGAGGGGGAGGAGGAGGAGGAGGAGGCGGAACACAAGGAGGAGCAGGAGGAGGAGGAGGAGGAGGAGGAGAAGGCATAGGAGGCATAGGAGGGGGCAAAGGATGCGGTGGAGGAGGAGGAGAAAGGAGAAGCAGGAGGAGGAGGAGGAGGAGGAGAAGGAGGAGCAGGAGTAGGAGTCAAAGGAGGGGCGACGGATGATGATGAGGATGATGCTGATGCTGATGATGATGATGATGATGATGATGATTGTGATGATGATGATGATAATGATAATGATGAGGATGCTTATGCTGATTATTGTGATGATGAATCAGATAATGATGATGATGATAATGAAGATGCTGCTGATAATGATAAATCTTTTAATGATAGTGATGATAATGAGGATGCTGCTGCCGCTGATGATGATGATGATGAAGATGACGGTGGTAATGGTGATGGTGATGGTGGTGATGGTGATGATGAGGATGAGGGTGATGATAGTGATGGTGAGGATGATGATGAGGGTGATGATAGTGATGATGATGATGCTGATGATGGTGGTGATGGTGTTGATGATGATGATGTTGGGGGCGATGCCGACGACGATGATGATGCTGCTGATGATGGTCATGGTAGCTTTGAGGATGGTAATGATGGTGAGGATGATGAGGATGAGGATGAGGTGAGGGTGAGGATGATGATGATCAGGATGATGAGGATGAGGATGATGAGGATGAGGATGATGAGGTGGAGGAGGATGAGGATGGTATGGATGAGAAGGACGATGAGGACGAGGAGGATGATGAGGAGGAGCGGGATGAGGATCAAAGTGAGGACGCTGGTGATGACAATAATTATGACGAGGAGGATGATAATCATGATGACGATGAGGATGGTGATGAGGATGCTGATGAGGGTGTTAAGGATTAGGATGGGGATGTGGGTGATGCTGACAAGGATAAATTGGTGGACGAGGAGGATGAGGGGAATGATGACACTGAGGACAATGATGATGATAATGATGATGAAGATGCTGATGAGGATGAGGAGGATGATGAGGAGGAGAGGGAGGAGGACGGTGAGGCCGATGATGATGAGGAGGATGAGCATGATGATGAGGAGGAGGGGGAAAAATATGACGGGGAGGAGGAGACCAGCTTAAATCCAAAATGATGTTTGAATGAACCCTCCCCCCAAGTTCCCTCCCACAGGCCCCTACAAGGACTCACTTTCACTAAGGGAAG